TATGTATGTTCTTCTTCATATATATAAATATGTGTGTATATTGAATATGTATATGGAAAAGTACCAATGCGGTGAGTCATTTAATCCTGGTTTCATTGATTTTCATTTTTAAATGCTTTTTATTTTTTAAAAATTATTTTCTTCCGAGGCTGATGTGTCATCAGTTTGTGTAATACACTGATAAAATTAAGAGTAGTTTGAGGATGGTTTACTATGACCAAACATAACTCAAAAATGATAGTGTTCTGAAGTATGGCATCTCAGCAAATGTAAGAAATCAACATTAAATAGAAAAACAGAAATAAGGAAATCAAAGAACGCTAACGTACTGATAAAATTTTGACTGCCCCATACAAACCACATAAGAGAGTTGAGAATGTTTTATTACAATATGAAATGCGTGAAATGATCACTGACAAAAATAGAAATGCTGGGTTATCAGTATCATCCCCTAATGCGGAAAGAAGGTCACATATATATTTGCAAGACAGCGTCAGTGAAATGCTGCACGGAGTTCTCACTGCAAGGGCACAACGTTGCTACCAATTGCTGCACAAAGTGTTCCACCTTCATCAAAGCACCCCGCCTGTGCAGACGAAGAGATTAAGTATTGCATATTGGGGCCTATTGTCTGCAGAATATGCATGTATACATTAAAACTGAAGGTGAGCCACAGTTCTCATAATACAAGCAGAAGCAATCTGAATTTCCAATGAGGCTGTTACTTGAACAAAACCCTAGTGCTGCTGTAGTAAAATCCTTTGCAACTCAATAATTTTTGCTTCAATCAAAGTCTGTAGTGCTATTTTGTATTTCTGTTAGTTTGTGTGTAGTTATTTCTTCTACTTGCACATAGTAGTATTGTTCATAGCATTAAATCACACAATTAGACATCCTTAGACCCTCTAGTTGCAGTTACTTGTATTTGGTCGAATACAATTGATACCCTGTATCTCTCTGTGTGAACACAGAGAGAAAGTAGCTTGATCTCCAGGTTTGTATGCAACTGTGTTTGTGGTATGAGAGTATCAGTAATGTTTTATTTAAGTATTTTTAGAAAATCTAATTTTGAGGTGTAGTGAAATTTAATTCACTGGTGAAGCCTATTTGTAAACTGCATTGAAGAGCTTTTGCTATTTCCATTAAAAATACTGTTCAATTATATTATGCATGTTTTATCAAGAAACGTAAATGTAATAAAATGGAAACAGCAATTTCTTGTATTATAGCAGGTAAATATTTAGAACAATTCCTAACAGTAGAATTTTAGAATTAAACATATATCTCAATTGTTATGGATATATGTGCATAAGCTACTGTTAAGTGTGCTATTTAAAACAGCATAGTAAGTTACTACAGCCACATACAAGATATATTGCTTCTTAGGTGCTGTGTTGAGTCAGGCCTAGTTTTCTTGGGTGATGATTCAGTAGGTTTGATTGTCCAGTGACATGCGTCACATACCTATTTGGCAGAAAAAAAGGAGAATGGAGTACGGACTTGATTATGAATTTATTTAGGAGTTTCTGCATTCTGCTTGTTGGAATTAAACTTTTGGTAGACTTAGTTCTCAGCTGGTAATAAACCAAGAATGGTTTATTGAGCTAACTTGTTTCTGAACTATGCCTCTGGTTCGTCTACATAGGCTTTTAATACCCCTCAACTTCTAATTGTTTTTTTCTGTCATTATCTAGTAGATTTTTACTTTCCCTTTTCCTTTATTTTTAAAATAATAAGTAAAAAATACAGAAAAAGTCTTCTTTTTGATATGTTAACTCTTTGATGTTAACTTAATCCCACAGGTATGTCCATGAGCTGGCTGGGGCCATGAGGGGAAAGATGATCTTAATATAAAAAGTATCATGAGTTCCCTTTCTCAGTAAGAGAAAAAATACACTCCCTTTCCCATGTGTTGTTCTAGAAAGATATTTTCCCAGTAAAAGAAAAAGGAGTGTTCTCTTTCACAGTAAAAGAAAAGAAAATTTAAAAAATTTTCAGCATGAACTTGGCAAAGAATTTCGTTCTATCTAATGGTGCCACCACATGTCGCCTGCAGAAGCGGTGTCTTTTAGGGGAGCCTGCTGTGGCCAGGTTTGCAAAGTATGTTTTGGTATCGCTGAAATTATTGAAGAAGAAGCAAAATATCCAGCTTGTGGGGCTCTCACTTTGCCTATGATTCATTTCCTGAAACATCCAAGTGATCACATTAGGACTGTTCTGGCCCAGGCTGTGCGCGCCATGGCAGCATGTGAAACTATTTGAAGAGTTTTTCTATTTGCTGACCCACTGAAGAATCTAGTGAATTAGTTTGTTAGTCAGATATATTTTCAAGTAAACGTTAATGTTTGCTTTTACTAGCAGGGAATTAGGTCAGTTGAGATTAGGAGGGCCTTCAAAAATAAATGATAATAGTCCCCCTTATACAGAATTTTTGGGCAGATTATCTTCTGGTCATCATTAATAGTAATATTATGTGCTTGGGTTTTTTTTTTTTTTAATTTTGTGAGACCAGCAGAAACCACAGAATAAGAATACCTTTCCAGTTTTCTGTATTCATCATCAGTCCCAGTATTATTACAACAACGCTGAGAGTATAAGAAAATCATTCTAAAATAAGTGAATTAGGTTTGAATGTGCTGAGTCATGAACTGAGTTAAGTTGTGTTCTATATCGTTCTAATGTTTTTATATTGGGGTAGAAGTCACTTTAATTAAGTTGTTGTTTATTCAGAAATTTATTTAAATAAATGAATCAGGATGCAGAAGAGGAATCTATATTCCAGCATTTAGCCAGGGCTTTTTTCCTGCACTGTTGCTATGGAGAAGCATATAAATATTTGTATCATAAACTAATTTTACTTCCCTTATAGGTGTGGGATGGAAACGCAGATAAAAATTGTAAAGAACAGTTGTTGTGGGCGGTTTTTATCATGTGGAATTTTTTTTTTTTTTTGGAATTCATTCAGGCACAGACTAGCAGCAAAGGAAATCTGAAAGTTTTGTATTAAAGACATCTAACATCTTTATGTTATGGGATAGAAATTGAATGAAAGTGTCCGTTGTGTTTGCAGTTTACTCTTTTTCAATTTTTTGCTAATATTATTAGGCATCTGTCTTTCTACTAGCCTGCATTTATTAGACCATTTATATAAAATCAAAGCAGAAGAATAAAAAAAAAGCTTCTTAACTCTGAAGCATATGACCAAAGCTTCCAATGGGTAAATGATATGGAAACTAATGGAGACTATCATTCACAGTTTTTTACGTTCAGCTCTTTTCTTCCCTTGTCTGTTGAATTGTCTGGAAGACAACAATCAGGCTGCGTACCAGCCTATGGACCCTGAGCTGTAGCAGTGCTGGGCATCTCCTTTCCTTTGCCCCAGGCCTTGTCCTTTGGGTTGCTCTCCCTCTAGTCTCCTTTCTGTGACTGTACCCATCAGTCATTCTTCAGCGAATCAGCTCACTGCAATCAATTCTTAGTAGATCAGGATGGATTCCAGCTTTCCAGATGTTGAAAGACCCTTTCTTGATAACCCCAGGTGCTGCAGGAGCTCCTTTTTTGGTACAGTTTCAACTCTGCTCTTGGCTCTGTAAATTGTGTGTTCTGAAACATCCTCTTTAACAAGCAGCTTCAAAGAGCAGCTCTGGTTTCTCTACTCAGCAGATACTTTTGACACCTGGAATTGTTATTCTGGCTTCACATGTGGCTTGACATCCTAGGACAATGAAGACAAAAACCTTTAACAATCGCTTTGGAAATAACACGCATCAGCCCTCTACCTCTTTCTTTATATCACAGGTTGTGTTCATTCAACTTAGCAGCAAAAAATTTGGCAATATAGAAAGATTAATAACTATTAGAGTTTAACATTCTTGCAATGGGAAATTGGGGGGGTGGACGGTCCCAGTAGTTCATTGAGCTTTGAAGGTCTCTTAAAAACATACATATTTAAGACTAAAAGACTCTTTTATGATTTTTTTAAAAGATATGTCTTCTACACATTCAAGACTTTTCAGTGAACTAAAATTTTTCATCTCTAAAGAAGGTACCTTAAAAATGTACACACCACTTGACCGGTAGGTAGATTCTCCCACTGACAAAGCAGATTGCATTTGTGTGTTCAGAATTAGTGTCTGTTATAACAAGGAAAAATCAGATGTTTAAAAAAAAATACTTTCCTTTTGTATCTGAGATTGTTACCACAATCCTTCATTGTGGCCAGCATTTGGATTATCTGAAGTTATCTTTAAGAAATACCTTGTATCAAAAAAAGTTTTTTATTCTCTGATTCCAAGATGAGTTTTCTTAATTTCAGCCTGATAGATTTCTTCCTAAATGTAAACGAGGGTTTCTAATCAAGCCCTTTAGCTATTCCCCTAGCGTTTCTGTGCTTCCTGCCGTTCTTATAGGTAATAGCTGGTGCTGCATAAGGACAGATAATGTGATTGTCAGTTATCCTGCACACGCACATCATCAGAGATAGGACTCAGGGATTTCCAGGAACAGTGATTGTGATGCCAGCTTACACAGTATAATTTTATGAGCACAGTTGTTACCTAAGAGTGGCAGAAAAGAATTTCAATACCATGATAATCCCTGGCTTTCATTTTGCCATTCTTAGCAATTCCCCCTGGTCATGAGTCTGAGGGAAAAGGTTGTTCTGTGTCTGTGGGGCTCAGTAATTCTGGTGTAAGGAGTTTATTAGTGTTATTCATCATGAAAAGAATTAATTAACATACAAATTGCATCATCAATTGTTGAGTCTTTTGGTGGGAAAAACAGTACCTCTGTTAAAACTGTTTTATTTGTGCAGGTCATGCCTATGATAGACTTGTGTTTTTGTTGTTATTACCAAAGCTTGAATAATTTTTTTGTGTAGGTTTATTATTCTGTTATTCTGTTATTCAAAACTATCCTGCTTTCAGATTTTGTTTTTTTGTTTAATTTGTCTTGCTAACACAGCATTTAGTGTACCTTTTCTTTTTTTCTTTCCCTCACAGCAAATGAAACTTGCAGCTGAGTCACTGAAGGAGTAAACAGAAGAAGGAATGAAGATAACTAAAGCAATCACATGTGAATGTATGCACTTCTTGAGCATTTGTTTATGATGCTCTGTAGCTGTGAGTGTGCACTCTACCATATATTCAGTAGGTGGCATCTGTATATGATCCTTGGTAAATCACCATTCACTGCTTGATACGGTAAAGATGATGATGATAATTTCTCCCACTCTTTCTTACTGTTTTCTCACAACCATTTGTGAAGCAACACCAAATAAAGCACTCTAGGTTGTGCTATGTCTAGCTGAAATCTGCTGGAGTCACCACTACTTCAAACGAACTGACTCAAAACAAATCTTAGGATTAAGTATCCAAAAGCTAACTATAGTTTTGAACTGTAACTTTGTAAAAGAAAAATAATTAAAAAAAAAAAAAACAGGCACACTAGTACTTAATTCATGGTGTACCATCCCTATTGTTCCCTTCATTCTCGTATTACAACAGTTAATCAGTCCTCTATTTTTTCTCTAAGATCACTTATTAGCCACTGTTTACACCTGGCAGATTAATGTAAATGTTTTATCTATTATGTAATGCAAGGTATGATTGTTCCCTGAAGAATATTTGAACATGAAAGCTATACAGTATGCAATATATGCTCCAGTGTGCTAATTATCTAAATAAACCCAGTTAGAATATTTTCAAAAGCTGGGTAAAAAGCATTCAGTAGGAAACAGATTGCTGATCAGTAATTTATACAAATTAAGTAGCAATTGTTTGTATATTTATTTTTTATTTTACATTAGCTTTTGGTATCTCGTCTTCTGGTTAAATGAACTGACACTAACAGAACAATTAAACTTGATACTGTATACCATTTACCCTTGTATGTAGTGAATATCTGAATTTTTTCTTGAATTTCACAAAATTTACCTGATGTTTCATTGCTTTCTGACAGTAATAAGACCCAAATCCACATTGTTTGCCTCTATGACCTTGAAACAGTTTGTTTTCCCCTGCTGTGACCATCATTTTTGGTAGATCTAACTTATGTATGAATGACACTTACTGGAATTCTGTCTGGGAAAATCTGTAGGTATAATAAATGAAGGTATTTGTCCATTGTGCATGTTCCATATTTCTGCCACAGGGCTCCCACAGTAGAATAATGTAAAAGTAAGCCAAAATAATGCATTCTGTCTGCAGTTTAAAATTAGCATTTCTCAAACTCTGCAAGTGTGACCCAGTAAAAAGCAACTCAGTTCCTTTGGGAAGAAGAGCAAAGACACACTATGTTGCTGTAAGTATCTGTACTTGCCTCTCCCTGCAGCCATCCCTCACAGTGCTGCTAGTGATGAAGAGCAGCTGGCACCTCACTCCCTGCAGCCATCCCTCACAGTGCTGGCACCTCTAGGGCTAGTGTCAACACTTGTGCCCTATTTCATAATCCCTGGGGAAGTAAATCTGCACCAGTCATAAGAGGTATCGCAGGGACTCCTAACTGCAGCTGTTTCACAGCCTGTGCCTGGTGGCCACGCCGTGCTTAGCTGGGAGGGACCACGTTGGTGGGCACGCATCTCCTGTCCTCTGGCACTGCCAAGATCCCACCTTGGGGCTGGTCTGAGGAGGGGAGCAGCACGCTCTTCGTGAAAGCTCCTTGGCCGCGTCTTTTCTTGCCTTCTTTGACCTGAAGTAGCCTGCATTTGTTAAAGTTTTAATCATGCTGTCTAGTCAATGTTTTTGAGTGAACATTTCAGGAGAATAATAATCTATGGGATGGGTCCCCACAGATCTGTGGAGTATGTTCTTGTGAGCTTGTAATAGCCATTTTGAAGGGATCCTGATGGTCTGTTAATTCATATTGGTTTCTGAGTGTAAAGGAGACATGTTTCACTCGTGGCAATGGTAGCCGATGTCTGGCGTAGTTTTTTGAGACGGTATGGAAAAGGGATTTGAGTCTTGTCTCAACTGTGATCATGTGAAAAATGGTTTGCTAAAAAAAGATCAGTAACGATTTTTGAAAAACTGAGTTGCTGGTTGTCTTTGTGGTCTTTACATTCTTCCTGTTTTCTGTAGACCAACAGAAAAATCTGTAGTAAGGTTTAAGTACCTGGTGGGAGTAAGTGACATTTAGCTCTCTCCCTTGCCTTGGGCAAATCCCTTCACTTGTGCTTAGTTTCCTTATCTATAAATGGTGATAATACCGATCTCACGGATTCTCCCCCTGAAGTTATGAAGTACTGAGGAATTATGACCTTCCCTAGTGAATGAGAAGTGAAATCCTTTATTTTATAGAGATTAGAGTTTATTCTAAGTTAATAGTAGCACTATACGAGCTCCTATACAACGTGATGAAGAGAGCATTTCTATCCAAAAGAGCATTCAGTTTAGTTTGTGAAGGATTACCTGTGTATTGCCAAGTAATATTTTGTCACTGAACTGAAATCTACCTTCTCTTCTCTTCCTCTGCAAGCTGCTCTTTCTCCTTTTACTGGGGCTCTGCTCTATTTAGTACTGTTTGATACTGGCTTTCTTTTTCTTTTTTTTTTTTTTTCCCATTTGCAGTGTCATCTGTTTCCATTTCTCATATGAGCGGAAAAAAAAGTTCCTGCCTGTGCATTTCAGTGTCTCTGTCTTCCTCTGTCAGTGTCTCTTAGTTTCTTTCTCTCTGTTGTAGGTGCATTTGTAAAAATTGTGAAAAAAATGGTAGGGATGAAAATTGCTGACAAAAATCTGTTTTCAGATGAAAATATTTATTAGGAAGAAAAATAAGTTTTTTTTTAATCAGTAACTGCCATTTGCAAGCTGTGTAATCTGTATGTCTGTTCTTAGTCTGGGTAAGTGCTGGCCTGAGGCATTATTTTCCCTTTGCACTCAAAGGGAAAATACCCTCACCCGTTGTCTCCTCATGCAGAGCTGACAGAGAATGCTCCCAGACAGTTAGTTTTTCTCAGCATGTAACAGGGAAGGGCATAGTGGGCTACGAGGGAAAAGGGGAACAGGCATTGGAAGTGAACGGATGTGTAGCCACTTAAATCAGAGGAGTCCAGTTACTGGCAAGTGTCTTCTGTCCTCTTCCTTGATGTGTCATTGAGCGGTCTGCATACAGTGACAGCTAAGCCAGATCTCAGGCCCTTCAGGCACATGCTGGTTGGTTCGCCTTCAGCACTTACTTCAGTAATGATGTGGTGGTTGTGGAAAGTGCAAATGGACTCGGAGCAACCACCTCAGGATGGCGTGTTCCTGGGGCAAGGCTCTGCATGTGCTTGCGGGGGAACCTCGCATAGTCCATCACCCAACTGGAGAGTCCCAACGCAGAGATGGTACAGGCTCTGGCCCTTTCAGGAATGCAGACAAACAGATGTGGGTGCGTGCCAGTTGTTCTCCTCTAATGTGTGAGGTTAAGAAAAAAGTCAGTCAGTCAGTCAGTCAAACTCCTGTCTCAAGCTTTAGCAAGAAACCTAGGAAGAGTTTGGAGGGCATGCTGTTTGGGAAGAACACCGTAGCCTGTTCCTATCCAGAAGGCTTGAATTTGACATGGCTCCTTACGAGCAGCAATAGTAAGCAAGAAAGTTGTTTTTAAGGAAAACTGCAATCATAAGAAAATTTTCTTGTTAATTAATTATCACTAGTAAACTATTTATCAGGTCTGTGAGCTGCAAGTCTGATCCTGTGGCCAAGTGGGATCTGCTGACTCGAGACCTCTTACTAAACTTGCCCAGCTGCAGATGCTCATCAGACTTCCTAGGAACTTGAAAACAGCAGAACAGGAGAGAACTGAGATCTTCATGTGAGGTAAGGTTCTTACTTAAGCAGATAAGCAATTCTGTTTATTTTAGGCTACCTAGATCTGTGGGAGTCAGTGTTACGTTCTCCTGAATGAGGTTTACACTAAGCACCAAATTTAGTATTTACTCCTTATTCAGATAACCAAAGCCAGTGGGAACCGTTGTTATGTGCTCTCCTTTCTCAGGCAAAGCATATAAAGAGGAGAGCCAGCCTGTACTGAGGTTCTCAAGGGCAACATGCTGGGACTGGTGCAGACTCCTGCCTGACTCTGTATTAGCACGTCTCCTGGGGAAGGAGGTACCTTATCTTACCAAGCAGCTCTCAAATGCTGAAACTAAAATATTTAGGCCCGTGCAGGAGCAGAGCCATTTAGCCCATCTCCCTCTACATTTGAGGCACCCAGGGCAGCAGTGGGATCAGAAGGAAGGTGCTGGATATGATCCGAATCCCTGGGAGCATGAAGGAGCCCAACATGGAGTTCGATACGGGCTGGCTGTAGTCAAGGACTCCAGCTGTTTTATTCTGGGGCCGAAGGGAAAGCAGTTAACTTCTTTGTATATCCAGTCCTTGATGACACTGAAACTGTCTGACAGACCTCCTATTCCTGATCCACAAGTCTGAGGGTTGGGTGCCAGGGCCAGGTCTGGATCTGGCAGCTGAGTGCAGTGACTCATGTCAGCCCTGAGCACTAACGGCCTCTGGACTTAGAGGAGGGATCTCTCTACACCCTGCTTGCTGGTGTAAAACAAACACCATGACGATGGTGTTTGTCATCACTGACATGTTGATGATGATGATGATGATCCAGGGCATGGCCTAAGCCCTTTCTCCCACCTCCTGGTTGTGCAGGGTTGAGTTGAACCTCTCCCAGGCCTTGGGTATTTGAGCTGCTTGAGTGCATGTGCAACACAGTTGCCCAGAGTTAAAACAGAGCCTCCCTGTCTCCCCCTCTCCCCCCTACACCCCTTATTTTTCAAGACAGTGTATTGAGAGGGAAGTAGGAAAACATTACACTAAGGCTTACTGAAATTAATGACTAGAAATATTTAACATGACACGTCTGAGAGCCTAGTGAAGGTCTTTCAAAACACATGCTTTTCAAATCCTGTAAAGTATCATATACATGTATATATATATATATTATATATATACACACACTCTTGCATTTTTCACATGACATAATTCTACCATCTTGGAAGGTGAACAGGAATCATCTTTTCTATTGTAACAGACTTTAGTCTGTCACTAATTGATGTCATTTACAATTTCTGTTACAATATATACAGATGGGCCAAACTCCAGTCAACTTGTTGCAGATGATTATTACTGTTTTAAGTGCAAAACATGGTCACAGCCTTTGCGTCAAGAATCAGGAAGGATAAAACAGCTACAAAATGTTGCTCCTGATAAAGGAGAAGGAGCTGTCCCTCTGTACAGCATACCAGCAGACCTTGATGATAGATCCCTGTCTTAAGTTTAGTCAGTAGGCAACTGAACAAGTGAGTCTCAGTTATGCTTTCTCAAGCATGGTCACCTAAATAAGTTACTATTCAAACACCTTTTTTTTTTTGAAATTAGTGACAGATAGATCTGCTCATATTCCTCAGCAGAAAGTTATTTGTGTCTAATGGCCAGGCTGTCTCAGTGAGTTTCTCATTTGTTCAAGAGTTTTGTTTGTTTGTTTGTTTTCCAAATCTGTCCAGAACATTCCTGTTTGCCTCTATTCTCTGTTTTTATCACCAAGCATCCAAGTTGGGTATGATCCATAATTGTGGCTAGCATGTTTCTTTCTTTGCGAATTAAAAAACAAAAAACACACACACACAGAGCTCACCTGCCTGTCCTAAATAAGCCAGCAAGGCAGGCAATAGACACTCCTGAAAAAGGAGAGGGCAGTGGGAGATAGCTGTTATGTCTTTCCTCTCTGAGGCACAATTAGAGCCCACAAGTTCCCTGAGAGCCGGCTGCTGTTTGCCTGCTATTGCAGCTACCCCTTTTGTATTAACCAGAGTTAAAAACTCACCAGCAATGGCAAGGTCTCAGGGAGCTGCAACAGCCTGCGGGTAAGGTTTCACACAAATAGGAAATCATAAAATAAATTGCATATGATTACATAAGCTGTTAAATGCCATTAATCCTTATAAATATGCCAAACACCATAACCAGAGATAGTATGGATACATGGTTTATGCCCAGTGAGCAGCTAAAGCATAGGCTCAGACTGCAAAAGGCCCCTGAATCAATTGCTGAGAACATTTGCTTACTTTAGCCTGACAATTAGCCACTTACTCTTTAATTAGACTTAATATCTGGAACAGTGGGCATATGAAGTCCTTTTCAGAAAGCCAGTTGAGGCAGAGCCTTCTGCACTGGGGAGTCTGGGCTCCCTAAACATCTCCCATGAGGTATCACTCGCACAGCTCTTGTTTGTGACCAGTGAAAGATCCAGGTAAGGGCAGAAAAGGAATGCACAGACAGATTCCTAAGAGCACATAGTATCTGGCAGTATAGTGCCTGTTACTGTAAAACATGCATGGCCTCTGATGTTTCAGAAGCGCTGGCTTTGGTACTGGCTCTGCCACCCCTCTTCCCCACTTGAAACGCTTTTCACAGTACTGTGAAAAAATATAGCAAAAATGTATTAACTGAGTAGGTACATGTTAAGGCACAGAAGTCTTGCCAGTAAATTTGTAAGTGACATTGACAGCATATGCACATATCTGAGCTGAGGTAGTTTGGTTGTTCTCTAGGTTCTGTGCTGAAGTATTCTATCTGAACTAAATCTTCAGGAGCAGATGTTTTCCAGCACGTGGCACTCCACACTGCAATGTGGGGCACAGTTGTAGAAACATACACTGAAGGAGTTACATTAAAAAAGAAGTGGAATTAACTCCTAGCATCCTTTGTCACACTTGGCAGTAGAAACAGAACAGTAGCATACATTCAGATAAAGGTATGCCTTAAACTGTGGTTTTACACCTCAGGTGTTTTGGGTCACAATAGGTTTGTCTTAAGGTTGTCCATAGTTTAGTGTACAGTCAGCATGCCTAGCTATTCACTGCAGCTGTACATCAATGCTGATGTTAACATTTTTTTCCCCTCCGATTTTCATTGCAGCCAAGTACAGCACTGGGTTGGGTTTGCATTAAGAATGTTCCATCTGCTCTTCAAAGAGCTAAACTTTTCGTAGAGAAGTTTACTTATCACCTAAACAGATTGCGCAAAATGGGCATGTCACTAATCATTGTGCCTAGCAAGAAAAACCCGAGAAGAGTAAAGCACCTTATTTATTTTTCCTAACAGTTACAGGAGAGGGGGGTGAGGGAACGTTCCTCCAGTGACTGTTATGGACACACACATGGCTGAGACGAGACTTTGTCTCAATTACTTACACAAACAGACGGCAAATATTTTAACTCCTGAGATCCTGAAACCGACTGGATTCTGTATTCCAGAGTCATCATATACAAGACAGAAAAGCAGCAGCCAGCTGATTTAGATTTGCTAAAAGGGCAAGCTGGACAAATTCATCATGAATCATCTCCAGCTGAAAGGAAGAAGATATTTTAGCAGGTGCCAACCCTGACAACTTTTAAACCAAAACGAGCAAGTTTGATCTTATCTGTGTACCAGAATAGCACCAAGTTGACTGAAAGTTTGCAAATAAACTTGTGTCCACACACAAAGTTGCACTGTTTCAAAACAACTAAGCTTGCAGTTCCTCTCATTTGTTAATTTTTTTAAATTTGTTACTTTATGAGAACTTGTAACAATGATGTTCAGCATTGACTATTTAATGCTCGCAGAACAGAGAATTCAGAAGTGCCAAAGCCCCATTTACCGAGAATGATCTCAGACATGCTGCAGTGTGGAGGACCGAGCTAAGAGTTTGTGCCACCCTCGTACTGTACAATGAACACCAGGAGTAACAAACTGTACTGACATGCAAATCACAGGTTATGCATCAATCAAGATAACACTTTTATTAACTGGATTTTCCATTTCTGTCGCACACCATGAATGTTTATACAATGAAAAAGCCAAACAGTGCTGGAAGCAATAAGACCAGCTGATATTTCTGTACCCTCTTAACACACACACATGGATTCTTTCTTGGTGAGAAATTTTATATTTCTGTTCTGTTCATTAATTCTGAATATTTATACTGCTACTCTTAAAATTCTGTGCCAAGATTGTCACATCTTAAATACAGATGAAGTTGCTAGAGGTACATTATTATATATACACATACAGAAAAATACAAGACTAATTGTTTTCCCACAATATTTAATTTATACACTACTGTAACTATATGCAACTTTTAAAGACACGTTAAGGGGTACAAGAAACTGTTTACTTGCTCTAAATAGTTTGGTCCAATATTATCTTAATGTAGTGGTTATTCTCGCCCTTCCTTTTACATGACAACATAATACAACATACACCACATGCACAATCATTCACCTATCAACAAATGGATAAAGGACACCACTCAAACTAACATTTGTACACCCAAAGGTTCAACCAACCATACACAACTAATAAGGCTATAATACAACTATGCAGCATAAATGGTCAACACTGCTGTTCTAAAGTGAGCACCATATATACATTTGTATATAAAAACATTGGAAACAAAATACACCTGGGGTTAGTTAAAAGGTGCCATTCCAAGGCTGTACATAATATCAGGAAAGAGTATTTACAATACTTGGAAAAAAGCTGCAACAAATAAGTTTATTGCCAATGCCCTTTATAAACTTCTCTCAGACTTCGATGTTACGCTCACTGTCTGTGAACCACACATCTGATTTCTGGCCCTTTATAAGATCCCTGCTCAAAAATTTCAAGCAAATATGTTCTATGGCTTCACCCACACATCTATTCTTGTAGCTTTTGATTTATAAATATCACACTGACTAAACTGCGTCTTAAAACTTAAAGTAAAACGCTTATCATTTGCTTTGTTTATGAAGCAGAATGTAAAATCTCTAGCTAGGCTAGACAGTAAGAATATCTCCTGCAATTTAGACTCTCTTAGTAAAGTCTTTTACTAATCAAGAAGAGCTATCATGAACCGTAGAAATTATGACCAAATGTAACGCAGTTCTTTGGTGCTCTACTCACCATACAGTGGACATGAAATGCATTGTATTTGACCATTTTGCAAGTGTTACAAGATGCTAAACAGTGTAAACTCCTCTCAGACATTCAATGTCTGGCCAGGGTGCTGCTACATAATACCACCAGTTTTACTAGCATTGCTTAGAAGACCCAGTGCACAGCATGAAAAAATAAAACATTCTTGCCCTTCCCAAAATTAGGAAATCTGCAATATATTTTATTCTAGATAATAAAATTCCACAAAAGTTAGTTCATCTGGTCAAAAGTATCCTTTTGTACAGAAATACTCTAAATCAAGACCTTGCCATGGTGATGGGAAACCAAGTAGCTGTTAATAGTTGTAAAATAAATACTTTTTTATATGCTATTTTTAATTGATTTTATGAGAAAACATGATTATTGAGGGAATATAAGTGGCGTACATATGGGAAACAGCAGTATTTTAAGTCTTTTAAGAGTCAAATTTAATAATGAGAAAAATGTAAATGACTAACAATTTCAATTTGCATCCAATTATCTAAAGGTTTTTCATTCCTTATTGCCTTTTGAAAACTTGGGGGAGGGGTTACAGGGAAAAAAAGCTAAAATATTAAGGTGAGTGTCATGATACACTAATAACCAAAGTAATTTATACAAATACTTTATTTTCAGTTAGAATGCAAAAAAACTCAGAAGTAGACTTAATAATTTATCTTTGTTATATTAAAAAAAGATTGTCTGCTTGTAATATTAACATATTTCTATGGGAAAAAGCTGCCTTACAAATCTACTTGCTTTAAAAAAAACAAAAAAAGAAGAAAAAAATGCCTCTAGCAAAACAAGATCTTTTCAGTTTCATTTTTGAGCCACAACTTTATCCATATCATAGCTTAAGACAAATAGGTGTGGGTTTAAAATCATATTTCAAGATCACTAATTTTCAGTGCATCTTTGCTTTGTACAAGCCTTGGAACATCTGAAAGCTCCCTGAAGAGTTTTCAGCATCAAAACATTATTGCTTTGGTTCTGTTTCAGACACATAGAAGTATGCCACATATCACATATTTTAGATATCACAGAAGGTCAGAACAAGAATTAACGTTTCACAAGCAAACAAAAGCTTCTCTCGCTCTAGTTTAAGTGCGGAACATGAAACTTCTAAGTGCTCCATTTACATTAGGATCCAGATACTCATTTTAATTTAATCCAGATCTTCCATAGTAAAATTATAAATGTAAAAATTACACAATAAAATAGTCTGCTCTGTTGGGAAAGAAAAACATATTGGCTAGCAGCATGCAAAGACCATGCATTGTCATACCATCAAGCAAACACTAAATTAAAATGTAATAAATAACTGCTCAAAGCCCACTTAAAAATATTAAGACAACAAAAGAGAGTTCAGTGACATTCACAGCTCTGAACAGGAAGAATGATGTTGTCAAGTAGATTGAGCTATTAAAGTCGGGTCATTGTCAAATGACATGACAACAACTGGTTTGACTGGAGGTACACAGCAGTCCCTCCTTTGGGTTCCGCTGAATATTCACAGATATCGTCTTTTCACAGAGAGGTAGTTGTAGCACGTTATTTTTCAAGTTCCTGCTCTTTATCCGTTCCAATTCATTTGCTGTGTCTGACATTTGGTCAGAAAAAAATTTTAGGTTGCCCAATGATGAAGCCTGGTTTGCACTTCCACTGGAACTTATACACATTTTCCATGTTGATTTCTCCTGTACTTTTACACTGGAAAATGACAGATTGTTTTGAGGATCAATAATGTATTTAGTACTGCCATGAATCTGTGAACCTAAGCAAAGGCTCATCAACTTCAGGCTTTCAACCAGTTCCCCTGCACTTTTAGACGATAATTGCATTGAGTTTCCAGATCCAGCGCACCTACGAGTAGAACCTGAAGTGTTGTTGGTGCTACCACTGGAGCTACTGGAGGGACTTCCCCCACCTTTGTTGTTATCACTCGGACTTGTTTTGTCTACCCCTCCATTTCCGTTACTTGGCTTGCTTTGTCCACCACCATCTCCTTGGCTGCCAGGAGGCCCTTCGCTACTATCCCGTCTATGCCAGGAGTAAGTAAACCCACTATCTTTATCTAGGCGTCTCCTACTTTCTGAGTCATCATCGCTTGTTTCTGAGCTACTGCAGCTAGAGCCCCGTCCCTGGCTTTTCCTCCTGTGATAGCGCTTATGCACTGTGCTAGGTGAAGCAATGTTCATTTTTAACCTGCTAAGCTTTGGGGGTAAGTTCTCATCCATGTCAAACTCATCATCTGACTCGCCCTCTTCAAAGATTTGATTGAGGACTGGTGCACTCTTTCTTGAAGTGAGACGGTTTGTAACTGAAGGCTTACGGCGCAAAACAACTTGAGTAGAAAGAGAAATAGGTTTCTTATCTTCTTCATCCTCTTCTTCATCTTCTTCAACCCTGAACAAACACTTTCGGCCACTTGTAGTGGGTTTTAAGCTCACTGATGGAACTACTGACAGTGCCGGTCCAGCTAATTCAGGGATATCCTCTTTCTTTGCTGGATCACCATGTGCCTTGCTTCTGTGACCATTGAGAACGTTTTCAGCCGTGCGAGCTGGAGACTGAGGAACAGTTGCATGGGAGAGGGGAGAAGCTGTAAGGTCATCTTCCAGATCTTGGGGTACATCAATTTTTGTTGGCCACGACTGCCTACAAGTATAAAGGATAACAGAAAAGTTAGATCATGGTGAGTATTTAAGAAGATGTAAGAAAAATGTAACATCTGCACAAAAGGAGCATAAATAGTAGCCTGTAGACTGGCTTGCTGAGTGGCATTATTTGTAAAAAGCAATACTTCGTAATTAGAGAAAAGGAAGCATTTTCAAAGAATGCGCATTCCTTTAGAAATGCTGTTACTTGAAAGGCAAGTTGTATATAAAAAACATGGTTTATAAGTTATGCTGATTGTTGTCAAATGAAATCAAAAAATAATAAAAAACCTTTTACTGCTCTCAGAAAATTAAGCAATAACAATCTTTAATGGTTTTCTGTGTCTCAAAAAATACCTGAAGGAGGGCTAGAGCCAACGTTTACAGAAAGATATGAGGTATGCAAGTGATTCAAACACAATCTAAATAAATAGTATTGCAAGCTACTTTCACTCTGAAGCTTTTATTGTTTTTTCCATTATTCTCTAATACAAAAATCAGATAAGGATTAACGCGTGAATGAGACTGAAAAATTGAGTCAGAAGAAACATTCTCTAATTTTCAGTAAGCCTCTTTCAGTTTTACAAGTTCTGTTTTACAAAATCACCTTTAATTTGAAGCATGTGAACTGAGATCATACATCTATTTGACTTTAACTGAGCAACTGAAATACAGTCACACGAATTCAGGACTCAAACTGCTTAAGAACACGACACTTCAAGAGCTATTTTAACTGCAAGTGAAAGTTTAACAGGTATGACTGTGTACTAAGCATTAGCCTCAAATCAAGATGTAATGAAAGAAGTGACCTCGAGACTAAATCAGTCTTTAGTCAAAGAGCAGCTGGTGTCTTATCTTCAGTATCTAAGCAAATATCTAATCATATAGATTTTAATTTAAATCCTGAAATATATTGTATTTTTCCCAAAACGCGCACAGAATAAATTAGCAACAAGCAGCCTGTCACTCTTAGCTCTTCATCTGTATTTTCAAAGCCTAATCCAACAGAAAATAACCCCTTAAAACGTGTAAAGATTTCTCAGTTACTTCATTCAGCATAACCTCTGCATTTCATGTACAGAACAAGAAAGGTCTTCTAACCATTCAAATTAAGAATTACCTTTAAGTGTAAAAAAGCTTTCCAATCACATACGCCATAATTAAAACACTAACATATTGCATGAAAAGTTGTCATAGAAGGAAAGTCCACAACTTTAGGACTTCAGGACAACTATAGGAGATTTCCATTCACATAAAGATAGCATATTACAAGACATTCCCAGACAAAGTTTTGAGAGTGTGCCAAAAATAAATAAAAGGGGGTGGGGGTTGCGCTGTACAACTCTAGCTCTGTGCAGAACCAAGGCGCAGTAGGAACACAGGAGGGGAAGCTGCGAGTGTTTCACACACAGTGTGACCCTGGACGTTTACTTGCACAGTCTGTCTATGAACACAGAGAATCATCCAAACTCCCTGAGCTCTGCTGTGTTAAAAAGTCAAGCTGACATAACAAGGGAAGCTCAGACACCCCTTTGCCGCTTTTATTCTAAACGTGTTCTACTGAAAGCACCTGCATTAGGACTGCATTTGCCCAAGGCTCCCTCTGTAATTGCTGGACAGAAAAGGATCCCAAGGTGTGAGATCCCTGTGTATGGGCAAAACAGCTCACAACTATTTTCCCCATTACATCAACTTCAAAGAGGAGTACTTTAATAAAGTCAACATTAAACTCACCAGCCTTACATGCAGGCTTTGTTTTGGAGCGCTAGCTTCTGTTTTGGTTAACAAGTCGGTGGTATGCAAAGCCGCAAGGATGGCTGTAACAGTAGGATCTGACTTGCTGCACAGAGCAGCCAGCAGGTCTGCAGGTGCCTGTAGCTGATGCCCTGCCCCTTTGCCAGGAGGCACAGGGCAGGCTCCTTTCCTGGCATGGGACTGCTCCTCAGCAGCTCCACTCCAAGGAGTGCTTTACCCTCCAGAGAGGCTGCCAACTGGCAGCTCTGACCCAACTATCCAGACAAGAAGCTGAGCCTCGGTCCTTGGTCCTCACACTGGCTGCCTCCCTTAGGCCCCAGCTGACTCCAGAAACACTGGGAACCACTGATGTAATTTCCTGATGACTTGTGCCAAACTGGGTGTTTCAAACACAAACAACTGTCAGTGATTAACGAGTAAGACTTAAATAAATTAGAAGCGTAAGTAAGGAAAGCAACAGAAATCAAGATCTAAACATTTCAACAATTTAAACTGCTTTAACAACAGACCAGTTTGTCAGCAAAAAACAAGTTCTGTGGCTGTCACAATAAAGCATAAATACAGTTTATTTCCTATTATTTCCAATAGTCCTGAGGGGAGGGCGGCAGAGAAGGAAGCTCCAGGTTAATCTTCTAAACTTCAAAATCAAAGTAATGCATTACTTTGTTGTCTTTTCCCACAAGGCCAATCTAGATAAACACTTTTAAACACTTTGAATTTAGGACATCATGAAGTCTAGGAGTGAAATAGTTTGAACACTACTTGGGACCACTATCTGCAAGCATTCCTCAATGCATGCAGACGCGCTCACCATGAAAAGAAAATTCACGCTAGCAACGCAGGCTTTAACTACTCCATTCAACTTTACAAATTCCTATCAGGAGTCAGATTCAATAAGCTTGTTTGTTCTAGTTCCTCATATATCCGACACAGCTGTTTTACTAAAATCGTGACACTGATGTGAAGAAAAAAAGTCACAAATTTAAAAGCAGGACTTTGCCGTTTTAGAATAGTTTTAGAGCTTTCATTTGAAAGTAAACTCAAAATTTTCACGTACAGTAATCTTTTATAACTAGTTCTTCCTGTTACACACATTTGATACTCTGCTCGGATTTCTTTTAGAGGAGATTGACATAAAGTAAGAGGATGATGCATTCAGCGAGAACTGCAGCGTGAAAGGCTATAGTATTACCCTACAAGAGAGAAGTTCTGTTATACCAGGCTCCAGACCATTTAGGTTTATGTAGATTAAAACACTTAGTTGCCTGCAACAATAACTTTTCTAAACCACTGATAACTATGCAACATAAGAAAGTTTCCTATAAGGATGACCACTGAGTGAATAACCTGTTAGTGCAGCAACACATTTTCGGAGTCTACTCTATGACACAAAGCAGAGGGCAATCTCATCTTGAGATCAGAGGGATGTTGATAGCTGTTGTACAACTCAGAGAGAAACAAATCATTATTTAGGTAAGCTGAATGGTATTTGGAAGCCACTGAAAACCTCCAAACTCTCAGCCAAAACCCCAAGTAATGATCATGACCACTGAAATATTCCAAATTTGAGATTTTCCAAACGCAAAATCTAAATGCAAAAATTCCAGATTTTCCAAAATGTATGCCCTTAATTTATAACAAGCGTTCATATTCTGTGGATTGAATTTGTAGTAGTAATACGTCACTTCATCAGTTAGGCTAGAGAAAATATGGACATACACCAGAGAGACACCATAATATTTATGCCTTTTCTATCTTTCCTGTTAAATGACTCCACATATGATCTTGCATGAAAAGTATACAAAGAAATCTTTGGGATGAACTCACTATTCCATCTTTTTCTCTGCTAGACCCTACAGATGCTGCCTACCTTCAGTTCTGTCAATTCAAGTCCAAATATCAGCACAAGCACTTGATATTCCCCTCTCATTAAGGTAACAGCCACCACCAACCAATATTATACCACAGCTTAAAAGGCAAGTTCTAACCTCCAGTCTCTCCAAAAGAGGACAAATAAATTAATGGAAATCCCTCAGCACAGCCTCCACAATCTTCACTAAAGACGTAGTCAAGACCAAGCAACAAAGATTTTTCTCAACATCACCAGATCCCCATTCAGAAAACTGGTCATACTCTAACACTTACTCAGCAAATTAAAAACAAAAACTATGAAAAAAATTAACTGTTCAGAATTTCTCCTCCAATACCAATGTGCAGGTAGAAACCCTTCAACTTCTAATTTTTAGTTTTAAGTGTATGCTGTTGTAACTGAAAGCATGTGATGTTTTGATAACTGGCTGCAGAGAAAACAGACTGAGTGAACGTATCACTACTAGCTACGTGCTAGAAAGCTCTCCTTTGTTTTATTGTTTGTGACTAGCTAAAGCTTTGTATATAGGACCTTGGTATATATGGCCTTTTAAAATAATGTTTTTGTCAAACTCAAATTCTGACTTCAGCTGAAAATTCTATTGCAACATGTTTTTAATTACCAGAAGTCAGTTCAAAGTAAATGAAACAAAGCCATTATTTTAACGGTTTTCCTTAGACAACAGCCATATTAACCTATATTAAAAGGAAAAAAGCATAACTTAAAGATGCTTGCTCCAAGCTTGATTTAGGGGATGTTCAGGCACATTAAAATCAAAGCTAACAACTAAACCGTAACATAAAAGTCAGCATGTGATTTCTCCTATATGACTGATTCCCCATCGACACATTTAGGGAATTAAGAAACTAATTTTTGTCACATATGCAATTTTAACAAGGAACTGAAGGTCAATGAACATGTCCTTTCCTACCAGGTGTGAAAATTTACTGCTTCAGGTACAGACTTCAAATTGATTAGTTGTTTCCTGAAAACAGTAGGATTTGAAAATATTATTGGAAACTGATTTCTGAACAGTTTCTAAAGTGTCCACAGCACTTCTAAGACACTTAAAACTGGCAATGAATAATCATTTTACTACTTTAAAAAGACTTGAGCAATTCAATGATCATCACCTTAAGCCAAGTTAAAAACAAAACAGAACAAAAAATAATTGGGACTTTTAAATTCTCACCTGAACTGAGCTTTGATGTTGCTAGGGCTTGCAGATCTGGTCTGAATTTCTTTCTCTTGTTTTTCTCTCAGAATCCTTTCAGCTAGTAAGAAGTAAGTAGCAGTGATGTGATTGTATTTGTTGGTTTCCAGTGCCCTAAGGAAAGTGCAAAAACATGAAACAAGCCATTCATCAATGACTTTCTAGAACTGGACATGCAGCTCGCACAACTCACTTTACTTCTCATAGCAGGAGGAGTGCCTGAAAGCAGAAATGTGTATTGTTGATGTTTTGACAAGTGTTTCTTGGTCTTATTAAAGGAATAGCCAACAAGTCTAGTAAGTTCACTATGGTTAGGTGAGGATACCTTTAGGATATCAATTGAAATTAAATAATTCTTCCTTTATTGAAAAGTGATAAAATTCTATTTCATGAATGTTATGCAACAATAACAGGCTTTCCCAATGGCACATAAACCCATGAAGTACTGATATTTGTTAATGAAACAGCTGGAGGAAAAACCTACACTATTTTAGGACTGTCACATTAAGTTTACAATAAAATTAAGTTTGTAAACCAGTATGCATCACTCAGGTGTTCTAACAGAAAAGATACAACTGTTACAGAGCTAAAAGCTTAAATAAAAAGCAGTAGTCTAGCTTTTCTTTTCAATGGTAAGCTATTAAAAGCTTTTCCACATTCAGATTGCTTCTTCTAGTTAAGTGTTTGTGTCCTATTTCAATTTAGGGACTATTTTAGAGATTTAGGATTTTTAGTCTTTTAGGAAGAGCTGTAGTTCTCTAGTAAGCTCACTCAGTGACAATATCTATTTTGCATTATATACATAAAAAGGAATAATATTTTAAATTACAAAGATTCAGGTATACTGGAAAGGTACTAAGAGAAAACTAACAGAATTTATCATCTCTAAATATGCATGATACTGGACACAACTCTTGAAGAGATACATAGTGTAAGCATGGATTTCAAAGCAGTTAGAATTGTTTAATATGGCAAATCACCACATGAATCAAACACTGTTCCAAAACATTTTTTTTAATTTTTTTTCTAAGATTGTGTCTACTTAAGTAGCCTTAATATATACTACTTAAAACATACATAATATTTAATATATAACCCTTTACTATTTCTTCCCATCACAGAACAAAACTGTAGTATTTTGTTAACTGAATGGATAAGCTATGTAAACACTGCAACACTCATGTTTTCATGATACTTTTCATTCAAATATATTAGATGCACAAAACAAACTGCATACAGAAAACTGGTAACTTACTCCACTATTGTATCTCGGTCTGCTATATCACCAAGAACCATGCGCTGTATTATACTGTTATGTTCTTCCTCAGACAGATTTTTATATGATACAAGAGGAATATTGTACTTGGTAGCAGGAGACGGGTCAACTCCTTGAAGCCATGCATGGTTTTCAATCTCTTCCAAAGATGCCCTTCGCTTTGGGTCTCTCTGCAACATCCGTGTAATGAGGCTGTGAATAAAAAATAAGAAAATGAAAAAAAAATTCTAAACAAAATGCAATGGCTGCTTTTTAAACATGCGAGTGCAAGAGCGATAGTAGGAAGAAATTTTCTGCTTTGTTAGTTTATATAGATCTTTAGAAGTCCCTGTTGTGAAAGTAATATAAACAATATGATGGGAAATTATCTGTTCTCAAAGACATTCTGAATGACAACGCAGAACTGAAAGAAATACAATTTACTTATGAAAACTGTAAATATCATAAGCACTAAATTTTCATTTAATATGCTAGATTCTTGACTTCTGTGGTTTTGCTGATTTTTTTTTCTACAGGATTATATGGCAACTGTCACAGATGGCCTGCAGGCTGGTCTGTACAGTAATAGAAATATCATTTAGTACTACTGCTGTTATGAACAAGAATATGCAATGGCAGAAGTAGTAGAAACATTTTTTTGTGAAATAGCTATCAGCTATTTGGCTATTCAGTATCTGCAAAAGGAAAGTGATCTGCTATACCCATGGGGCAGGGAGAGGTCTATCTAGGATTATGAGGTGACAAACCTACTTATGGGTCAATACTAAGTGTTTCCAAGCACTGGTAGGGAGGTGCACAAATTCTCCAAGCAGAGAAAAAAGAGCTGATTAGCATAGCACGTCTCTATTAGCTTACTGTAGGTGATGTTCCAGTGCATATCATGACAAATTCTTGGGAGAGGTTTTTTTGTTTTTGTTTTGCTTTTTGTTTTGATTTTTGCTTTGTACAGTAAACAGAACATGGATATACAGTTCTGGTGCCAAGGTTTCAATGGAATGTTATTGCTTCAAAACACAGTATGAAAGCTCTGCAATTTTGACAGAATGCTTTACTTATTTCACTGACTATACTACACACTGTGCAACTACAAACTGTAATGCAACTCAAAGGTAACATGAAGGGTTTTTGTTTTTTCCTCCAGTATAAAAAGATTTATAGAAGGAAAAAGGGGAGTCACTGCAGCCTCTTGTAAAATAATTTAAAAAGGATGCCACAGGTACACTGAATCTCTCTAGTCTCTGCCATTTGATTTTTTTTTTTTTTTATTTTAAACTACTCCTGTAGCAACACGAATACACAAATGCACAGCATCTCTCTCCAGCCTTAGGCTTGCTTAGGCACCCCAAACCTCCAGGAATGCTTTTACTCAAAGCAGGAAGTTTTAGATCTTCTCAGAGTCTTTTCCCTAAGAAAACCTAGTCTACAGAGGACTTCAGTAATTGATCGCCCATTGGCAATGTGGCGCACAGTGAGAGCAGATCATACTATTTTCACTTTTAAACAAATTAGTGCTAGCCAGCATATTAACTGAAAGGATGTGAAAAACAGAAATTTCTTGCTCCAGCACAGTATGTAGCATCTCAAGAGATTTATTCTGATTGAATTCACCAGTAAGACCTTTCTTGTAAACCTCTTTGTGCAATTCAAGCTGTTGAGAGCATTAATAGCCACTTTTTAAACAACAGAATCCTAGACAGAACTCTAACCAGAAGCAATTTTCAGGTATTTGCATAGCTGTCTGCTATTTCATATTGGCAACTGACAAGATACTCTATCACTGATTCAGGAATCTAGCCGAACATAACGGAATAGTCTAAGTAATGCAACTTGGATATATATTTAAAGGCATGACCCTTTAAATAAAGGCCTCATTCATTAACCCATCCCCATCATACAGCAAACACTGGAACATATCAAAAAATAAAAAAGCTGCAGTGAACACTGCAGTAAAAAAATATATCAAAATGAGTCATGATTCCCAAGTGGCATATGGTATTTGCAGGGAGATTATTTTTCTCCCTTGAAGGCCTAAAATGTTGATTTGGACTTGCAATTTCTGTAAGTGATGAGCAAAAACTTTCTGCATTATTCCTGGGTTTTGAACAGAAATCTGAAAGAATCAGTCTCTAGCCCTTGCCACAAATACCCCCCTCAACAACACCTGGTAACCTGTCCAGCAAAAGTAGTGGCCAAAGCCAGTCAGTGGTGAGCAGCTTCTCCAGTCTTCTATACAGTAAGTGACAGCTGAGACATACAAGAAGGATACACTGCATAAAATCAGAATAAATTTTCCTACAAATGTATAGGGAAAAATCTATTGCCAAAAATATCACGGAATTAAAGTTTAGTAAGAATAGATACAGAGAATAAAGACAATATAATAGCAGCGCCCAAGAAACTACTCTGTGGTAAGAAATATTAACAACTAAGCAAAAGCAGCAGACAAAGTCCTATGAACAGGTAAGGAATGCTGCACATGCTGAGAGGGGAACTCTCACAGCTAATGAGAATCCACCTACACAAAGGCTTCCAAGTTCTTTAGTACTCACTCTTTACAGTCTTTGGACACATGAGGTGGCACTGTGTATTTGCAGTCCATTATCATGGTCAGAGTTTCGCTGTCATTTGCTTCTTGAAACGGTGGCTGTCCGCACACCAGCATAAAAAGGATGACCCCCAGACTCCATATATCTGTAAATAAATAATACCATGTTTTAAAACTGTTTATGAGCCAGAGATAATTACCATCAAAACTGTAAAGTATTGCTGAGCTGCAGGTTGGAGTTACTACCATACTCTGATGACCAGTATTACTTAGGTATTTGCAAGTCCACTGAAATACAAGATACAGTAGTTCCATAGGTTGACAGTTTTAATAGTTTTAGAGGAAAACAAAAAAATCAAAAGATGAAAAAGCAGCACTGCGGCATGTGAAGCATTTATGTTAGTTTCTACAGAGTGTAAAAACTAGTATTTAGTTCAAATATTTATAAGAAGTTACCACAGAAGAAAATATTTCACAAGTCCGAGTGCGTTAGGCACAGAGAACTTAAGTATTGAGAAATATGTAGTGTTGCCCCCCAAAAAAGTATACACTTAGATCAAAAGACAAACTTAAGGTACAACTCCGCGTTATGAAAATATCACTGGTAATTGTGGTTTTTATACCCTAGCACTTCACAGATCTGCATGCAGTATAACCAAACAGTGGAACTGGTGCAAGTGGGTAGGCAGAAAGCTCTTGCGTGAAGAGGAGAGCACAGCTGGCAGCCGTCACAGGAAGCAGAGCACGCTGCCTCTGTCCAGGAAGGGTTTGCAACACAGAGCCACACCAAGGTAGCCACACCGCTGCAGCTCACTCTCTGCAGCCTACTCAAAATACTTGACATGTGTTTAAAGCTGAAGGATGGCTAGAGTTTTATTTAATAATGTAAATCACACACATTCATCCCTAACCAATTACTGATTTTGCTAGTTACAAGCCATTCTTTGTATAGCTTAGCAGAGAAAGAAACAGGAACACTACAGCCTAATTTTCTTTAGAGCTCTAACTTATAGTTAAATGTATGCTATTAACTCGGACAATCATCTGATTTTTATTATGCTGACTTAGGGCCTTGATCCGATAGGTACTGAGCATTTTGAGCCCAGCACACTAACTCATGTAGGCCTGGAAATTCAACAGGGCTCTTCACACACTTAAAATTTGGGATGTGCTTTAATACTTTGGCGGCCTGATGCCAGAAAGCTGACTGTTCTGGAATGCAGGATCCAAAAAAAAAAAGAAAAAAAAAAGAAAAAAAAAAGGGCCACACAACGATTACAACTTATTTTTGCAAGCACATGAAACATGAAAATTCATGCATTTTTTATTAACAACTGCGTCATTTGGATATCAATACCCTTCCCAGACTTTGCCTAAGCAATCTACTTAATACCATCTATGCAGTGTTTTTAAATATTCTGCTGAAAACTACTCCCTACAATAAAAAGCTGCCCATCTCCTTTAAGCTTCAAGTATTTTAGAAAAGTCCACATAGTATTCATAATCACAAATAAATTACATTTGCTGTAATAAAGCCATATACATGGGCTAAATTTAGGACAAGTCACAGAGAAAATACTGCGGAGGGGAATGAAATATTTTAACACCAGCTATAAATGAGCACATAAGGAGTTTAAACAGAAGGAAAAACACAAACGTTTTAAGCTTGATCTCTTCAAACAAGAGAGCCCTGAAGAAAGGACAGAAATCACAGTAACATAACGATTACACTTAGAGTTCCATGAAGTCGCCCTATATAGGGAACTCCAGCAGTCCTTGAAACGTTTCAACTGCATTGAGTAGATGCTGAACATCCTGCAAGTTTTTTCCTTTAGAAGGTAATATCCTGAGTCAATTTTCTATTTATACACATGAAACAACACAGCATATTCCAGACCGGCTGTACAGTTGTCTTCCTTTCTATACATTTACCTTTTCATATTGCAGTTTGGAAGGATCTGTAATGGCAGATATCGTCTTAAAGCTTTCCTAAAATTCAATTAATTTAGATAAATGTGTATGTACATTTACCTGTATAAAAAAATTAAAAAACACTTTTCAGAACTGGTATCCAACTGATCTAAATCCAAAGAAATAACAATTTTGTCTTGTATAACGCAAGGCAGAATTAGTTATCAACCTATATCACTTGTTTTGACAAATAAAAGGGCAGTTAATGATTGCTCAGCACGTATCTCAGAACGTAGTGCACGTTGCAGTGCTTCTTTCATTAATTGCTGTATTTTGCACTTCATACCCACAGGTCCTTCTAGATGAGAAGGGCTGCTAACAGTGAAATGAAACAACCTACTGTTTTTAATACAACTGCATGAAAAACAGGACACAAACTCTTGATCATAATCATGCAAGGTCAATCATGCACTAAACTGCTACCATATTTCACTGTACTGTGCATTCTGTGTTACTAAAAAGTGATATGTATGTAGAAAAAAAGTTTGTTAAAAACTAAAAATGGTGCTCAGAGACCTTTTGCTTGAGCTTATCATATTATTTAGAAATTTTAATGCTCTCAGTGAATACTAAGGTAGCAACAGTCACATTTTATCTCATTCTCACATACTCTACGCAAAAACTATACACATTTGTCAGAGAAAGTGTAATATTTTGTTAATTTGATGGCACAGCAGACTTACTCTTGCGCAGCCAGGAAATTGCACAGAAACAATTACATAGCTTTTATTCCCACCCTATTTCTATAGCAGCTGGTGGCTGGAGAGAGAGATTTTCAACTTGATTGCACCTACACCCATGGCTACTAAAATAATTCAGCTAGAAGTTTCAAGGATCCAGTTTAGCAGCTTAGGTGGACTTAAAAATATAATCATAACTAGGAAGCAGGACTGCAGTGTGCCTAAATAAATTTAATGTACATGTTCAAACCAAAAATAGAAAATCACCAGATGACTGGAACATGTTCTGTTCTTATTTTGGTGCAAACCTTATGTTGTGAGCCAGATGTCATCTTGGGGTCATCTTTACAGGCCCTCCAGAATCATATTATAGCAAGTCTCTCCTCACATACAGAAGGAGAGCTAAGCGGTTGGATGCCTGCATGTCTATGAAGAGGACATATTCATGAGCTCCATCTTGCCACTTTGGGTGTAGACCCCAAATCAAGGGTGTTACTCCCTGGTCTACTCTGTGTCACAGAGTAACTAGACTCAGTCACCTGTTTGCAACTCCACGTATAACTTAAAACAAGAACACATACACCAATCTGACAAATGATGCAACATCTCTAATAAGGCTCACTTTTTGGCCAGCTGCAAGTTGTCACCTTGCTAAAGACACAATGGAAAACGCACATGTTGCTACAGCCACATCTAGAGCTAATCTGGAGAAGACTTTAAATTTGTGGGGGCAGGGGGAAGAGAGGCAAAACTAACTTAGTGCATCTGCCTTGCTGCTTTTGTCCTACAGACAAGTGACCCAAGGGCAGCCTACAGATCTTTGGTCACAGATATTTGCCAAAGTTTTTCTGATGCTCTTTTCTGAATGGAAAGTAATGTAACAGCCAAGCTCATTCCACATTTAGCCATCTAGCATTTCAGGCAAAAATCTACAGGTGTTTATAAAGAAATGCAAAACCACAATGAATCACAATAATCATTTCCAGAAAGGCCAGACTGCTGCCTTTAGTATTGTACAGACTATTTTTCTTTTAGGCTTTGTTTTAGCTGTCTCACTCCACTATAATCTGAATTACATTTCACTCATCACACGAAACACAGTTGATGTTTATCAGTGTGAAGGAAGTGGTAAAAAACAGAAAACGGGAAACATTGAACAAGTTTTCAAAATAACTTCATTGAAAATACAAAAGCTACAAGAACAATGGAAAAACACTTATAAGAACTGACTAATTTACTGAGATTTCCAACTTTCATAGTTATTCAGACAACAGATACATACAAACTTAAAGTAAGAATAGTTAAAGCAATATCTTGCCCTTCCCAATCAGCACAGAATTTTGCTTTGGCAGTTTTTCCTGTTAAAAAAAAAAAATATATATATATATATATATATATACACACACACACACACACACACAACACTGGACAAAATAGCATTTTACTGGCAAATCTCTCTGTATTTAATCTTCCTGAATAGGCCACAGACCACTGTAGGTTTTGCAATATTTTGAGTTTTGTTTTGCATATTTTGAAGCCATTTACAGCTTGGCATAAGTAATACTAAGGTTAAAAAAAAAAAAAGGAAATCTGTTTGTTTGAAAAATAATAATCTTAACTTTGAGGGTTCAAAGTTGTACTTAAACCTAAAATACTTATTTGCAAATAAACAGGTGACCTATGTTCCCAACACACAAGTAAGTTTGAACATGTGAGCTTACTAGACTTCGGCATAACTCAAGATCCAAGCATTAGAAGTTGAAGCCTTTGAAGCAGATATTCCACACTATGAATTAATACACACTTGTCATTTTGAATGTTTTAAAAGATAAGTTAAATAGCTATGCAGTATGTGTATTAGAAAAATCAGTGTTCCTACTGATTAATTTTAAGCCATTCTATACATGCCAAAAATCAATATTGCATTTGTGTTTTGCACTTTTCCCTCCCAGAGATTCACAGCTGCATATTTTTTAGTCAACTTCAGAAAATATACTTCAGAAAAAGATAAAAATGAAAAAACCGAAAATGCTTCCTTCCCTTTGAAGATATGATTTTTGTTCCCCCACTTAAGGCAATGATAACCAGATTATATTTTGGTAAACTCTTCTTCCCAAAACAGTGCCAATTTGGCCGAGAGAGAGACAGAATTCAAGATCTTGAAGAGCGGCTGTCTTTGAGAAATTTGTAAAGGAGAATCAGGAATTATTTTATTCTAGTGCTTACTTAAAAATCTTATTATTCCCCTGAACAAAAGACAAAGATAAGGGCAGGCATCTTCTTTACCATGCTGTTTTGTGCTGCTGTAATCAAAGCTGCTCTATTATTCTTGCCTAGTTGATTAGGTGAGAACCCACCCGTCTTTGGATCCCAAGGAACTGAAGGAAGATCCTGGAGACTTTGCACACAACTGATCCTGGACTTTAATCAACACTGGGCTAGTACATGCTGTCCACTCTTGTGCCCTGCCCTGTTATTGGAGATTTTTGCTTACA